TACTGGCACGTAATTTTTCCCGCCTTTGCACACCAAAGAGTACATTTTGCTTTTTATTTTACTTCATTTCCAGCCTATCGATTTTCGATGACGATTAAATGTATTTCTGACGTTAATAATCACCATCTGAAAAGTTCTCAGCCTGACCACAAAGCCCTACCAAAAATCTCTGTTATTTTACCATTTGATCAGATGTTAGGAACTGCGTTTGGCCGATAATTTTCCAGTACCTCCTGGTATATGAACAAAGAGATGTTTTGCTTCTAATCACTTGATTTTGAGGCTTAAAAACAGGAACTTAACAAATCGAACTTAACAAGATATCCGGACGCTAAATTCAAAATTTAAAAGGATTTCAATAGAATTAAAGCGAAAAAAGAACTATCAGTTTTAAAAAGACAGAAAGTCTTTGGTCGTCAGTAAGTGGTACACGCCAAAGATGCGAGTTACGAATTCAAGATGTCGAAAACAAACAGGGACAGAAGTTGAAATATCTGGGAATTATTTCAGCAGGGGACAGAAAATGTGACATAAAAATCCGAATACGCATTGGAATAGCGAAAGTTGCCTTTCAAAAGCTAAGCAAAGTATTAAGAAACAAAAAAATGTCGTTAGAAACAAAAAAAAAGTGCTGAAATGTTATGTAATATCAATCCTCCTATATGGTGATTTTCTAAGCGTAGCTTAAATATGGCACAAGGCCAAAAGTATGGCACACCCACTGAGGAAAAAACTCACTACTCAGTCGTAACTGTCCTAGTGAGACACGTTTGCTAAACATTACCCCACGCCAAGGTACGTCAATCTTCATGTATGGCAACAAATTCTTAATTTCTTCACAGTTGAAGAAAATACGTCATGCAACAGGAGAATGCTGAAAATACCATGAACGGAGCATGTGAACAATGAGGAAGTTTTAAGGTAAATGAAAGCCAAAAAGACAATTATAATCAGAATTATAATGAGACTGCTGACATTTCTGGGACAAATAATGATGAGAGAATGCTCCGAGAATCTAACACTCACAGAACGTATTGAAGGCAAAAAGAACAAGTTGACTTAAGTTCTTTAGAGTGCCCAATCTATGAGGCAAAGCACTCTTTGTTTTTCTTCTTGCTAAATAAGTTTTTCACAGAAGCTTTTATTGATTGTGCACATGAGAACTGAAATTCATGGTCAATAATCCAAAGACCGTGAATAACCGACCTCACGAGTTTTTGTAAATGCAAGGCAGAACAAGGAAAGAGAGTAAAAAGACAAACGTTGTTAAACGCTACAAAAAAAATAGGCAGTTGTAGAAAGCCATGATCGTCTACGTCCTAAAGGGACACGGCACATGGAAGAAAAAATCGCTGAAGAAAGAAAATGTGTTTCTTTTTAGATCCTTCTAAAAATCTGGTTCAGAATCAACCAAGGTAACTGAAAAATGGAAAATTTGCTGAAACTAGTTTAATCTAAATCCACCAAAATCATGAATATTTTTTGCAATCTTAGGCTATAAAAGACAGGTTTTTTGCTTTTTCAATCATTTATGAACAGTGCACAATATGAAGCGCTGTTTATAAGTGTTTGAACAAACAAAAAAATTTACATTTATGCTTTAGTCCTAATAGTAATAATCGTGGTAATATTAGGCGTTTCCTTATAAGGAAACATTCGACATCCATTGACCGAGCAGCCAGTACTACTGTCGGTTGAAATTTATAAAACACTTCCCTTAAAAGAATTTTTCAGGAAAATAAGTTTCTCAAGTCCAGTAACTGTTATCTCTCTCTCTCTCTCTCTCTCTCTCTCTCTCTCTCTCTCTCTCTCTCTCCAGTACTGATGGGTGTTTCCCGCCTAACCTTTCATTTGAAGTAGTGCCGAATGTCGGCATCTTGGTTATGCCATTATTTTCTCTTCGAATTACATGTGCTATCCATTTTAGTTATTGCTGCTGTTGAAAGTCCACAAGTAACATATTTCCTGTTATGTGGTGCAGTTCTTTAATCTGTAGACTTCAGTCGCTCAAAGCCATTTTTGCCCATTGATCTGAGAAAGCCGTTATATAAAACTGACAGTTCAGGTATATTTCTAATCGCATTTTCCAACTTGCATGACATCAATTATTTTCTTACCAGATGTTTACTCAATAGAAAACTCAAGAGCCACTCAATGTAGATGGTTACTGAATGAAGTTGTATGACGTAAGAGGAGGAAGTAAGTACAGATTATAAGGATATTTAGGGTAAATAGATTGCAACTAGATAGCGGCTCGGGCTGAGGAATCGGAGAGCCGAGTTCGAATTCCACTCGAAGTCATTACATCCACTTACTTGCTAATATTCTGAGATTGCAACGTTATCTCTGTGGGATAGGGACTGTAGTGTGGAAAATAATCGTCCACAAACCTACGTAAGAGCATTTGTATTACATCAAGACGGGGAAGTAAGGATACAGTTAATAGTTGAAACATTTTTTTATTGTGTTGGTCGCCATGCTTGATACCTACATGAAAGTCTTGATCTAATGGAACTATTTAAGAATATGATTCTAGGTTTTGGGTAAAGATTTGGGTTTTGTAGCATCCGATGAGTCTGGACAAAACAGCTTTATTCTATGTTCAATGTCTTTACTGCCTCCACTAAATTTGTTATAACTGATCCATACACCGAGCTACTTGAACCGTTTCGTATTTATTAAGTCTTGAATTTTTAGGATATGCGCATGTTTGCGCATAAGTGTGTATGAGTGTGTGGGTGTGCACGCGCGCGCGATTAGCACGTCTTCTTGACGCTGTTCGACAGACAGGATCGAATCGTGCTTGGAAATGAAGAGATTAGGAATTTATCTAATGGTTTGACTCAATTAATTAACAGAAAAGCAATCAGATGCGCTCCTCAAAGTGGAACGATCAAGAATAATCCTCTAATGGAAACATTTTTTGTTAATAATCCTAAACAGATAAAAACACCTCCTACGACTCCTTCGTCCTTCTCATTATAAGTTACATTCTCCTTCTTGTTCTTCTTCTTCTTCTTCTTCTTCTTCTTCTTCTTCTTCTTCTTCTTCTTCTTATCATTATTATTATTATTATTATTATTATTAGCTTTTATGTAACCTGTGATATCATGGAAAGGTTTTATGAAACAAGCAACTACAAACTTTCTAATGAATATTAAAACATTGCTGCCATATATGGTCTGCTATTTACCTTAACCTGTTTGATAAAATCCAAAGAAGGATCAGCAATATTATTGGTCCTGATCTGGCGACTCGGCTTAAGTCACTTACCCACCACCGTAAGGTTGCCTCTCTGTGTCTTTTCTATAAATATTTTCATGGTAATCTTTCGGATGAGCTATGCTACCTAGACTTTTTTTTGAATTTAAGCGCAGTACTAGAATGGCATTGAGATCTCATCAATTTACAGTTGAGCTGGCCAGATGTAGCCGTAAATTCTATGCTAACAGTTTCCTTTCTCGCACATCTCGCTTGTGGAATCCCCTTCCGCTTCTATGATTTCCAGCCAAAACTAATCTGCAAAAATTTAAAAGAGTAATCAGGAAGACAGTAGATATAGTAGATTATATAAATATGCATGATTACCCACTTTGTCTGCCAAATAACTCCACTTAACGGTCGCTAGATGGCGTTACCAAATCAGTAGATATGAAAGGGGCGCAAAAATCTCATAACCTTTCTCAAATATAAGTCTCTTCCAATCTTTTATAAGAACTTAAATACAGATAAAACGACATCTCTATATAGACAGCTTCATTCAATCCTTTTGTGTTTTTTCCGTTTAGTTTTGCACGGAACATAAAATATTTCGCTGTTAATTGTACGGAAATATTTGTATTTTCATTCATACGTCCACTAATCTTGACTAAAGGTATACACAAATATTCCTTAACAAATATATGGTGACACGAGAAATACTGGAAGCTTGTGTAGGAAGCATGAACCAAAGTTTACATAAGACATTTAGCCTGTAAACAGATAGAGTAAATATAGTAATTCAAGAAGTTGACCATTTAACACTTACGTATGTCACAGGTAAAAGGTTAAGAAAGTTAAGCCCAAAATCTGACAGACAGACCAACATTAGACTCCGTTTGCGCAAAGTGTGAAAGTTGCCATTCTTGAAAAGTACTATCAAGCTAGAATAGACGCTGCACCTAAAACATCGTCCAAATTGAGAATGACGGTTGTCTAGTTTGAACTGTTTTATATTAATATCTGCAATACAATATAAAAAATTGTAATCATTCGAATATATCGAGCTTTAGATTCAATGAGTGGAAATGACTTACTCTCTGCGCTTCACGCGAATCGAAGAGGAATGTTTTCCTCCGAGATTATCGTCCTTTTTTGGCGCCCCATGCAGCTAAGAAATTGTCAAAACAAAAATTTAAACAATAAAACCAGTATCATGCAGCATGTTAGACCAGCATCAGTAAAACACGAATTATTTGGAAAAAGGAAAAATATCAAAGAAACACAAAATAACTAAATAAAAGGTAATACTAGAAAAATCCTTTAATCTTTGAAATAGGCCACATGATTAAAGCATTGGCTCGTAAATTTGCTTGCCATATTAATTGTGAGTTCAACGCTTGGGCCGGGTAATATAGACTTACATCCAGTTGAAACAGGAGTAGAAATAACTGACCAGTAATAATTAAGAACAAAACGTTATATCTTTAGACATGGATAGCGGAACTAGGACAATATGCTCGCGTAAAATTAAATTAAATGAAGGGTTCCTTTCGAAATTTCATGAATGAATTAGATCGAAAGACCAGAGGGCACAACGACCAAAAGGTTGTGATAACGATGATACAGATATTAGTCGAATTGTAAATTTCATCCCAGAAATTAAGACAGAAATGCGTGATAAATACGTTTTGGCAATCTGTACTGTGTTCCGTACAGACTGAAGTTCTAATTTGGCCATTTTTATTCATACTTAAGCTTAATACATTCCGAACACCAGTTCAGCACGTTAGAGGTGCTTACGTTGAAACATTGGTTCACGTATGACCACTGAAGTTAAGCAACTTCGAGCTTGGTCAGTACCTAGATGGGTGACCGCTTGTAACTACTAGGTGCTGTAAGCTCAGATTGGGTGGTGTAATGGATAATAGCTTAGAATTGTTAATCAAAGAGCCAATTTCCAATCTCTGTTGGGTTCGTTATATTCACTTCCACGCAAATATCCTTGAGAAAGGCATGAATCCACCTCTTCTCCCTCCAGCTGTGGGTTAATTAGTATAACGTGTATCACTAAAACATTATAAAATAACCCATAGAAGTTGATACGCTGCTAAACAAAAACAAACAGCAATTACCAACAAGATAATCTACTGAGTACATTCAAAGCTGATAAATTCTTCACTTTTATGAGGGGAGATCACATTAAACATTAGACTTTTATCACTAAATCCTTATTATCTCTAAAAAAAATTCTTATAATCTAATTTCCTAACTTTAAATAACCTACAAAGGGTTGATAAGCCGTAAAAAACGAATCAATTAAAAAAACATCATGTGGCTACATCCACATATTCCACTACACATGTTATTCGTCATATGGTATCCAATCTGATCAACGAGTCCAAATAAAGACATCGAAAAAAAAGTCTTAATCACGCACAAACTTTTAAAAGCAACCAAAGAGCAGAGAACTAAACTTAATCATTTTTGTGTCATGCATTAGTTTGGTTTGGTTTAACGGCACATCAACATCCTTATGGGTCATTTAATTCAGAAATTTTATTTTCTTGTGAGCTTTGGTACTTTTTTTTAAATGTATTGCTGTCAATTTTTTTTTTTTTACTATGAAAATGTATTGCTGGTAACATTTTTTTTTTTTTTACTATGAAAATGTATTGCTCGTAATTTTTTTATTTTATTTTTTATTATGAAAATGTATTGCTGTTAATTTTAATTTTTTTTTTTACTATGAAAATGTAAATAATTTTTTCCTAATGTATTTTTATATTTTCATATTTTGATACCAATTTGGCTTTTCACTATTTTCCCAGAGCTAGGACCCTAACGGATGCTACCACTCTTCTTGTATTAGGATATATCAAAAGTTGTTTTGTTTTTTACTGGCCGTTATTCCAAAGCTTATTTTGTCTCCACATCTAAACACTATGGCTCCACTATATTATAATTTAAATGCCATATCATTACCAATTCTAGTCCGAAATATATGTTTTGTTTCAAATGCTATAATGATAGATAAAATTGTTGAGATTCTGGTAATTTTATGGCTTTATTATAAACTGGTCCTCTAAACTCATGAAATTGCTCACAGAACTCTGAAAGTGGAAAGAAACGAAACAATATCTGACCTTAATCTTCAAACATGGTTTAACTTGCTATAAGGTGTTCATTCCTATGCTAGCTCTGTTGAGAGGGTTATTAGAGCTATGTGCTGATTCTGTCACCTTATTACACTCTTATTCTGGCTTTATTCCACAGGGTTTTGTGATCACGGCACCTTTTCCCTTCACACATGATCAGCGATACTTGATTTCATCGTCGCCCTCTCTTCAGTATCTGTTTCACTTAATCAATGTCATTGGCATGTTACCTGGACATTTGCAACAGTGTTTAGATAATATGTTACCGGTAACCTCTTTAAGGAGGTTTCTTTTAAAATAACAGTAGAGAACGGATTTAAGTTCATCTTTGCTGCATTAGTTTTCTGGTTAGAGGCGGCATTTGAACAAGACACCCTGAAAGTAATACTTTAAATAAACTTCAAAATTTACTGTAGCCAACAGTCGCAACACGACTAATGAGCCCTTTCTGTTAGTTATGGCATTCAAATCTGTCTTCCTTCGCATTTTTTAGTGGATGTATAATTTGCTTTGTCATTGTTATGAGAGGACTGGCGGATGCATCAAACACAGGGATTGTGTAATTTTGTTGTAAGTAAAACACCAATGATGCACTATCGACAACACGCTGAAAAAATCTAACTTTACGTTACTTAAAGTTGAACTGTTACATTTGTTTTCATATCTCGCCACTTCCATCTTTCTACGCTAGACTTGTTTTCAGTGTTTTTTCTTTTACTTTCATTTCTTATTGCTGTCTTATTTTGTTTTCTTTACCCTCATTAGTAAGTGCAAATATTTAGTTTTTAAGAAATATCATGCTTAGGTCCAACGATAGCAAAGATTCTTACAATAAAATTAATATTTTTATAAATAATATTAATGAGCTTGAGTAAATGAATGGCGGAACGGAGCTTAGGATAAATAACAGAAAGACAAAGTATATTAAGAGCTACAAGGAAAGGAAATTGTGGAAAGCCATGATCACCTACATCCTGAAGGGACACAGCACATAAAAAGATCGTTGTCAATTCACTGGGGGGGTAGTTTTTTTTTGCACTGAACATTGTCGTATGTAATCCATTTTCAACGTATGTTATGATATTGTCGTAGAAGTAGGTAGTAGTAACACCATATGGAAATATACACTTTCCTTTTCACTAAGAGACTGACAAAGAAAACTCTCTCTCTCTCTCTCTCTCTCTCTCTCTCTCTCTCTCTCTCTCTCTCTCTCTATTACACATACTTCCTTACCTTCCTTCTTCCTATCCTCGGTGACTGACAGAACCCGGACATAGCTTATGTGGGTCAGTGAACGTCATTAAAAAAAAATCAACCAATGACAATACGTCCCGCCAAAAATCATAACGGATGTGTCAGGCCCAATAAAATGAAGAAGAAAAAACCACGTGCGCAGCAGAAGAAGTGGGAAATTGGTTCGATGTAGCAGTTCGAGTCGCACGGGTTGGAGATTCATCAAATGTGAGTTTGACCGAACGTGCAACTCCAGAAGAAAAAGAAGGAAGAATGAATTCAACAAATTAATTTCTGTCAGCCAAAAAATAATTAATAAATAAAATAAAATACAACGACCCTGCATGAAGTCTCAAATCACAAAAGGACTAAGACGATAGTCACCCACTTTAACCACTGTAACCAAATGGAGTCAACAATAAAAATGGTACTATAGACAGTAAATTTGGCCTTTACTTATGTATTAGTCCAACCTTCATCTCTATATATCATAATATATTTAAGGAACCGTTAATTGTGATATATTCATTACAATTAGTTTCCGAAAACTGAAATGACACAATCTAAAAGAAATGGTGTTGCCTAGATTTGTTACAAGACTAAACGTTGGAATGCTCTAGGATATTGCTAAATACTGTCTTTTCATTGGGATCTCTGATCAATGGGAGGCTAAATTAACGCTAACAGATGTCAGATATGGGAACCGTATTTATTTAAGAAAACCAGCCCAGAAAGGAGTTGCTGCAGAGGACAAATCTAGATCCTCTTGGGGAATGTAAACCACGCATCCTATGAGCGTCCGCCCCCCAGTATTAGTTATTTTGAAAATAAAGGTGGAAAGTGACTCTCTCTCTCTCTCTCTCTCTCTCTCTCTTTCTCACGCATGCGCACACGATTTCTCTCTTCTCTCTCCCCCCCTCTCTCTTTCTCTGTTGACATAAAGAACAAAGGAGAATTCTTTTTCTGTTTATCATGTTTTTCTTTCTTGTTCTAGTACAAAGTAAAGGGTAAACTACATACGCGATTTTTTTTTACATGTATTCGTTTATAAATAGACCTTTTTTTTTGGATGACCTGAACGTTGGAATGTTTTAGGATATTGCTAAATAATGTCTTCTCGTTGTGATCTCTGATGGCAGGCTAAATTAAGGTTAACAGATGTAACCTGTACCTATAAAAGTTACTCTCTGAAGATTCCATGCGCTTGTAACCTAAATACAACAGCCGGCACAATTCAGTACAACCGCCCCACCCGTCACCGCCACCATTCCTCTTACTATGGCACTTAATTTTTCAAATAATTTCCTCCAAGGTGAGATTATTATTTCCCTCGCTTATTAAATATGTATAAAAATTCCCGATTGAACTTTTATTTGAAGCTGCCCGCATATTTTATAAGTTAAAAAATCGCCACCGGCATGATTATTCCAGACGGCACTTGATGCTACCGAATGCTTATACAGCCAACGGGTAATATAACGGGTTATTAGTGAATTTACTGTTGCCCACCCTTCTTATTATTATTGTAACGTTGTTATTGTTTGTGGTGGTGGTGGTGGTCGGAATGAAAATAATGAATGATTTAACAAAGAGTTGCACAATGTTGGTTTAGTAGACAAAGTTCCTCACCTTTTTATCATTTCTGTTGGCGTTCACAACGGCAAATTAATGATTTTTATTACTGAGATTATATTTCAATTTTACGCCACCCAACCAGAAACCATTACGATACGGCAAGATCTGACAGCCAAATTTTTGTTTTAATATCGATAATTCTGTTTTCTAGGGGTTTTTTTTTTGTTTTGTTTTTTGTATTTTTTCTTGTTTGTTTCTTTTTTTTTTTTTTTTTTTTTTTGCATCTTGTCCACCAAATTTTTTTTTTACATTGGACATCATTTAATCGGGGACAGTTGATTTTTGTTCAAATATTGGATATCATTGTCATTTACCCTGAAGCGTGACTTTGCATGCAAGATTAGTGACGTCATGCACCGGGGATTTATTGAGCTTACCGAAAATAAAGATGAACTTCTTTCTTTCTTTCTTTCTTTTATTTTCTATTCTAACTTACTTTCTTTTCTTTTTTCTTTCTTTTCTTTTCTTTCTTTCTTTCTTTCTTTCTTTCCATTTCTTTCTTTTCTTTTCTTTCTCTTCTTTCTTTCTTTTCCTTTTTTTCTTTCTTTTATTCTTTCTTTTCTTTCTTTCTTATTTCTCTTCTTAAACTTTTCTACTGGTTTCACTTTTTTTCTACCTTGCTTCCCTTTTGCTTTAATATTCTTCGATTAAGCTTTCTCTATTTTTTGTAAGTTCCTCCTTTCTTTTTCTTTTTTTCAGTCTTTCCGTCTGTCTGTGTACCTGGCTGATATCCCTCTAATCTAGAAAGAGGCAAATCCTTTCTACCTTGCTCCTTTATCACGTTTTTTTTTCTTTCTATTTTCATTCCTTTATTAGTTTTATGAATGAATTTCTTTATTTTGTTTGAAAAGGTTTCGTTTTCCATTCCTTTATTTAATGCGGCTTCTTTCTCAAACTCTTCTTTCTTTCTTTCTCAAACTCTTCTTTCTTTCTTTCTCAAACTCTTCTTTCTTTCTTTCTTTCTTTCTCAAACTCTTCTTTCTTTCTTTCTTTCTTTCTCAAACTCTTCTTTCTTTCTTTCTTTCTTTCTCAAACTCTTCTTTCTTTCTTTCTTTCTCAAACTCTTCTTTCTTTCTTTCTTTCTCAAACTCTTCTTTCTTTTCTTTCTTTTCTTTCTTTTTTTTTCAAACTCTTCTTTTTTTTCTTTCTTTTCTTTCTCAAACTCTTTTTTTCTTTCTTTCTTTTTTTTTCAAACTCTTCTTTTCTTTCTTTTTTTCTTTCTTTCTTTCTCAAACTCTTCTTCTTTCTTTCTTTCTTTCTTTCTTTCTCAATTCTTCTTTCTTTCTTTCTTTCTTTTCTCAAACTCTTCTTTCTTTTTTTTCTTTCTCAAACTTTCTTTTTTTTCTTTCTCAAACTCTTCTTTTCTTTTCTTTCTTTTTCAAACTCTTCTTTCTTTCTTTCTTTCTCAAACTCTTTCTTTCTTTCTTTCTTCCTTCTTTCTTTTTTCAAACTCTTCTTTTCTTTTCTTTCTTTCTTTCTCAAACTCTTCTTTTCTTTTCTTTTTCTTTCTTTCTCAAACTCTTCTTTCTTTTCTTTCTTTTCTTTTTCAAACTCTTCTTTCTTTCTTTTCTTTCTCAAACTCTTCTTTCTTTCTTTCTTTTTTTCTCAAACTCTTCTTTCTTTTTTTTTCTTTCTTTCTTTTTTCAAACTCTTCTTTCTTTCTTTCTCAAACTCTTCTTTCTTTCTTTCTTTCTCAAACTCTTCTTTCTTTCTTTCTTTTTTTCAAACTCTTCTTTCTTTCTTTCTTTCTTTCTTTTTTCAAACTCTTCTTTCTTTCTTTCTCAAACTCTTCTTCTTTTTTTTCTTTTTTTTCTCAAACTCTTCTTTCTTTCTTTCTTTTCTTTCTCAAACTCTTCTTTCTTTTTCTGTCTTTCTTTCTCAAACTCTTCTTTCTTTCTTTCTTTCTCAAACTCCTCTTTCTTTCTTTCTTTCTTTCTCAAACTCTTCTTTCTTTCTTTCTTTCTCAAACTCTTCTTTCTTTCTTTCTTTCTTTCTTTTCTCAAACTCTTCTTTCTTTCTTTCTTTCTTTCTCAAACTCTTCTTTCTTTCTTTCTTTCTTTCTTTTTCAAACTCTTCTTTCTTTCTTTCTTTTCTCAAACTCTTCTTTCTTTCTTTCTTTCTTTCTTTCTCAAACTCTTCTTTCTTTCTTTCTTTCTTTCTCAAACTCTTCCATTGCTTTCTTTCTTTATCCATTGTTTCCCTTTTTGCTTTGTCCATTCTTCATTCCTTCTTTTCTGTCTTCCATCATTTATTTTGTTTGTTACGTTACATTTTTTTAGAAAAGTTTTTTCTTTCCTTCCTTTAGTTTTCAGTTATATTTCCTGTTTTTGAACAGAAACTTTCACTCAGAAGTTTATATTCTTTAGCATAAAAGAAAACTTCAAACATGTAAATGGTCTTAACTTGGTGACGATTGTCAAAGACGTCAGATTTTTACAAAGCGAGGTTTCATTGACTCAAGTTAATAAAGTGTCAATTTTTCTGAGCCATTCCTCCGTTTACAACAGAAATAAATTTCACGACGACATAAAAATCGCATACTTCTTTTTCAAGATATCCTCATATTTTTCATCTTCCTCCCTCGCTCTCTCTCTCTCTCTCTCTCTCTCTATCTATCTATCTATCTATATATATATATATATATATATATATATATATATATATATATATATATATGTGTGTGTGTGTGTGTGTTTGTGTGTGCGTTAAGGTTGCGGCACGCCATGAATAATCATTTTTAAGACACCTTAATTATCAGCTCACAAACAATAAGTAAATAATATTAAGTAATAAGTAATACTATAATATAATAATAATGTAATAATAAAAATAATGTAATAATAATAATAAGAAGAAATAATATTAATAATAATGAGAAGAAATAATTGTAATAAGAAGTAAAAATAATAAGTAATAATATAATATAATAACAATAATAAATAAAAATAATGTAATAATAAAAATAATGTAATAATAATAAGTAATAAGTAATAATAAGTAATAAGTAAAGACTCATTTGAATCCGATAAAGACAGAGGTTATCATGAAATGGATCACATTCCAGCATTTTGATGGAACAATTTAACGTAATGGTAGACGCCGAAAAGCAAGAAAAATGCATGCGGTCAAAATAAATGATCATAACATATATTGATAAAATATGTATATTCCTACCTTTCTCCTGTTGTTGTTGCTATCACGTTTGATGCTATATCTCTTCTGGTTGTAGGTGTGATGTTGATGAATCTTACCACCCCTAAAACAATAAAAGATATAGTTAGCCCCAAACGAGATAGCAACAACAGCAGGGCAGAAATAAGTCCCCGCTTTGTTGTGGGATTTGACACGATTGATATGAATATGTATACGTTTTATATTAAATACTAGCAGTAGAGCCCGGCGTTGCCCGGGGATGTAACAGTAAGAGATGGATCAAGTATCGACCATCATAAAGACTAAAAAATAAAATTGACAAAGATTATTGTTTAAGGTTGACGGACACGCATGTCTTAATTATTTTTTTTTTTTTTTTTTTTACGAATTGGTCAAACCCAAACTCAAACAAAAACATTGTTTTCAATCGTTATGAGTGTCTACCGATTGAATAGAATTTTATTGTAAACAATTGTCTTGTAAATGGAATTTTTAAAGCATTCTGAATGTAAAAATAAAGGAAAAAAGTGTGCAAGACAATAAGAAACACTACCTGCGAAAAAAAAGTGAAGTTTCGTTGAAATCGGTTGAAAAATATAGGAAATCCGATCCCATATATAAACGAACACGCACACACACACACACACACACACACACACACACACACACACAAACAACCTGGGTTTTATAATAAGTATAACTCGATATGAGATGCCCCCCTTTCATTCTGGCGACAGAATCGTGTTTTCAAATTGATCTTATGCAAAAACAATTGTGTTTTTCCAAATGTTGGTGCTGTCAGAACCACCACAAGGTAATTTTACGTAGTCCTGTGAAGTTTTGTTGAAATCGGTTGAAAAATGTAGGAAATCCGATCCAATATATAAACGTACAGACACACACACACACACACACACAATCTGCGTTTTATAATAAGTAAGATTCATGGGCTTTTGGAACATTTATCCTGAAAACAATATTGCTGTGAGTAAAGGTAAAAAATAATTAACGAAAAACAATGAATATGAAACAAACGACAACGCGTGTTATTAACAAAAGTAACTACATATGTACACAATTAAAATGAATGGAAAAGACATTGAAACTCGCTATGGAAATGTGTTTGTGTGTAATAGATACATCAGTGTATGTGAGAGTCTGTAAGTTAAGAGAAGGCCATGAAAATGAACGTGTCCCAGTGAGGGATACTTTACCCATGTGCGACTACATCTGAAAGCAAGTGGTAAAAAGAGGAAGAGAAAGAGAAGAGAGAGAGAGAGAGGGAAATAGAGAAAAAGAATATGCCTGCCTTTTCATAGACTTAAAGAACGCACCCTAATGAGCGCTTTTAGCAGTGCCAAGTGGGGTAACCCACATGTTAACAGGATAATTAGTATTTTGTTGGCATAGTTATCCAGGAAAGAAAGGAGTTTCATCATTGAAGTTTCCGTAGGGATAAACTATTTACATGGAACGAATATATTTTTGTGTGTTGCGAGAGGAAATGTGCGTGTCGTAGCTCTTGTGGTTGACGTGAAAAAGAGAGAAAGGCTTTCCATAATTGCGCCCGCCTATACTTCTAAACCGAGAAGAATGATCCCCAAAAGTTTTTCGTTTTTCTTTAGCAAACGAAGAGCTAAAAACGCGTTTTAATTTTTCCCATCATTATTTTTTATTAATATTGCATTCTGCATTGTATGCTTGAAAATATTTCTTCTTAGGAAACATTAATTTTACATCAAATTCACCTGTGTAAAATCAAAGCAACTGCAAGCATCGGAAATATATTAAATACACATTTTGCAAGTATCTAAATAGTTCTTCACCCCTTGCCACTATATATCTATATAAAAGTCCCAATTACTGTTTATAAACGCACACCTTCGACGATTTTTTATAAGCAGTAATTCAGAAATTTGCCAACCAGACGCTACGAAAAACCGAAACCGTTGGCGGAACGAAAGGGCAACTAGGCAAAAGGCTTCAATAGCTTTGAACAAAATAAAATTTCGGACATGGACAGCAATAAGAAAAAAGTAAAATGTCCTAAAGGCAAACCTATCTACTCAGTAAAGCGCTCAACGTCTAGATTACCTAGACATAGGTAAAACGCTTGACGATGTTAATCCCTAAGAAAGGATAGCCCTTGTTGTAACCCGAGTTTGACTCTCACACGATCTTCAGACGAATTGAATGCAAATGAAAGAAGCTGGGATACAATGAAAGAAGGGAATAATGAAAGATCGCCTGAGCGTATAAATTACGACTTGGCATATATATATATATATATATATATATATATATATATATATATATTTTTGTGTGTGTGTGTGTGTGTGTGTGTGTGTGTGGACAGTTTTTGTATTCCTTCTCTCCCACCAAATGTAAAAATGTATGAACGCTGAAAAAATCTAAATAAAAAATTAATAAAACTTTCCGTGTCTGTTATATTTAACGGAAGATGCTAAAAAAATTGTTACTACCCAAATATACATCAATATCTATCTATATATATATATATATATATATATATATATATATATATATATATATATATATATGAATGTAATTGATTTTTATTAATTATTTCGAAATATTTTTTATCACTTTAAACGTTAATTGGATACCCATATTTGAGTAGACATTCCATTCATTTTTATACAGTATTTTATTTTCGTCTACTGGCCTGAATATATGAGAAATCTTATTAAAGAAAAATACGTTCTCATGCAAAATTAGAATTTGCGTGTACACACACACACACACACACACACACACACATACACACACACATACATATATATATATATATATATGTATGTATGTATGTATGTATGTATGATGCTCACAGCACTTTTCACGGATCGCATAGATAATATACTTGACATTTACATACCTCCACGCGTGGACGGGTAGAATGTGATACATGATAGGTATAAACGCCATATGTAGGCACGAAGAAGAATAATACCCATCTCGCAACCAGTGTAATCAAGGCACGAGAGCCCTCCAGTTCAACTCTTTTGTGAAGTGGGGAAGAGCTTCCACGTGGTCGGAATCTATAGAGATTGCGCCGATCGTTTAGCCGATGTCGTTACCGACGGCTGTGTGCCCCTTCGGAAAACAATAACATGGCTGCGAAGATTACGAACTATACTCTAATGTCGACTGGCCATACGGGTACAAAATTTACTATCACTGCGACTTCTGTTACATTGGTGACTGTAACCCTCCCGATTCTGTGCAATGAGGACCGTGTTGCCACAGGGTTGGAATTCCCGGAACTAGGCATCAGTCATAATTTTAAAAAGAAAAGCGAGCAGATACTACATTTTGATCCTATTCAGAAGATATTCAGTAACCTCCCCACGCAGTCAGATGTGGCACAAGGCCGAATTTAATGTGGGGTGAACAGAGCCCATAGGTTCGGGCAAAAATTCCCGGTAGAACCCATATGCACGGGGTCGGGTATTTGTCTACAATCCCCAGACGAGACTCAGCACTTCAACATAGCCTCGTCTGGGTTCCTCTCTGTCTAGAGGCAGAGAGTTTTACAAGCACACCGGGAAGATTTCAGAAGAGCGGAGGGCGAACTAGAGGGCCGATATTTATCCACCTCCTAACAGTGGTAGGTTGTGACACAAGGTCGTTTTTCATGCGGGCTGCCCATAAGCGTACATATTTAGTGCAATGAGGGAGGTGCTACCGTCAGACTAGATCCCTATGCTAGTCATCCATCATAACTTCAAAAAGAAACAAATAGCACTCTTGGATCTAAGCTTGGAGATCGGGTAGTATATTCGAGACAAAAATCTATTTCTGACCCTGACAAAAGTGTATACAAAAATTTTTATGGGTATTATGCGTGATGATTTTAATTCTCCAAAGAATTCTGCATATAACTAATATAAAAATTAATCGGTACAAAAATTAATTTCTGGAAATTTCATCAAATTAAATAAGCGAAAAGTAAGAGATCTAAGAATGCTTTTACTAAGATTTTTTAAAAAGAAACATTATTAAAATAATTTCATTCATTTGCGTGTAAGTCCTGAATTTTTCATTAAAATCCGACAAGTATTTTAGAAAGAATTTCCAAATC